CATTGAGTCCCTAGGTGAAGCTTGAACGGCCCAATCGTCTGCAACCAGGGCAATCCATTCGTTCCATCTGAAAACGGAAAACGAATTCCCTGAGCATCTCATTATCCCTCTATTTTGCTTTGAAAAGGTCAGACTTTCTGGTATCAACCTTGATAGCCCCGTCGTGTGCTTTTACGAAGGAATCTGCAAGCATAGAAAATGAGTCAATAGAATTAGGAGGTAGGTTGAGGTACCATATCATGGCTCTCTTGGACAGAGTTTCTCCAAACTGTTTCAGCAGGACAGACTCGATCTCATCATCCTTCAAATCGTTTCCTTTGATGGCCTATGTGTAGGAGGTCACGTGCTCATATGGATCGGTCATTTCGTTGTACTTAGGAATCTCGGGCATGCCGAACTTCTTAGGAATCTGCTTTGGAGCGTCACTCGGAGGAAAAGGTTTTTGAACAAACTTCTTGGAGTCCAGGCCCTTTAATATCGGTGGTGGTCCTAGGATTTGATCGACCCTGGAATTGTAGGTTTCCACCTTCTTGTCATTGGCTTCGATTTTCTTCTCTCCCGATTGTATCTGTTTCGTTAGTTCTTCGAGCAACTTCATGATCTCGAGGTTGGTCCCCGACTCATTTTCATTCCGCCTCTCCGGGATCGGTTCATTTCTGTGGATGACTTCCCGGGATGGCTGGGGCTCAATTCTGCTCGGCACGCGGCTCTAGTTCTGGAGTTGGGCTATCGCTACCTGTTGAGCCTGTAACATTTTGAAGATCGGCCGCAAATTGATCCCATCATCTTCACCATTGTGCGTGTTTTGTCCAACCGATCGGCCATCTCTGCGGATTCTGTTCTCATGATCGATGGGCAAATTCGCATTGATGGACACATGCGAGCTAGCGTTGATCGGGTATGCGGCTGAAATTCTGCCGAGATCGGTTGGGGGCACCTCGTTACCGGGTGCCACGTTGTTGTTTTTGCCATGGTGGCCGGATTAAGCATCTACGTTCAGATGCGCTGACTGGAGTTCGACATTTTGGATTTTGGCCTGAAATTAGAGACACTTCAAAGAACAAGTGTAAAATAGGGTGTGTTATAGAAGTCTGTATCAAATAGCCACTATTATCCTTAGCCCCACGGGGCACGCCAAACTATTTATCCTTAAAATCGGATAACAATTAAATTTGTAAGTGGTTTTAAGGATACGCGGATTACTTTGATACAAAGCGATAAATTAAGTCAATAATAAACAGATAAAGCTAGAATAAACTTAAACCACACGGATAAGATAGTTCCAACCTTAGTGAAAACGATCATCCTTGATTCGGGCTCACCACGACAGTACTAATGAATAAGAGAAAGAGCTAATAATAGAGAAAATAATAATATATTGCTTTGGAGTGCGTATTACAGTGAATTTTATGAGTAATCAGACCCCCTTTATATAGCAGGGGAGTTCTACATTAGGTACAACTCTATAAAAGATAAAATCTTCTTATTAACTGATTGCTGGTTCCCTATCGATACAATGTCGAGATCCCCGCCATGATATCCGCCTGGTCACAGATATTTCGGCCTTCTGTTGGTTATGCTTGATTGTCGACAATGTCTTTCGAAGTTGTTCGAGGCTGAGACCGATTCTGGAATTATGACCTCGATATTCCCGAGGGCAGGCGTCGTGTCCCCAGGCTCTGGCTCGATGGGACTTTCGGCTCGATTTTGGTCCAATGCCACCATATCTCGAGCCTGGCTTATCTTGTAGGAAGTCGAGGTGCATCATGAGCTCGATTTTACCCGTATATAACCTTTTTAAACACTCCGAATCCATGCAGTGCACCAGACTATTTTACTTTGGAAAGAAAAAACTAAACTATTTAACGATTCAAGCAAATGAGAGTCAGTTCTATTTCTTATTTTGTTCAAATTAGGAGCAGGAAAAACAGATATATATATATA